AGAGTGGTTGATTATGAAAAAAAAACCCTTATTGGATACCGCTTACAAAATTCGACCTGAAATAACCCAACAAAATTTGACATCGTAAAATTAACCAACTACAAATACATAAGGAAAGAGGTGGCTCGGCGTAATATTTAATTTGTTGTTTTATCCACTCCCACCTCACATACGACAATTTGTATATATGAGGACTATTTAGGATTTTCATCGAGACAAGGAGGTATTATGGTGAATGTAGTAAGAAAGGGTACTAAGAATGTGGTGTTTTGGTGTTAGGAATATTGTTCATATGCTTGGGTCAGTGCTTGTGTCTAGCTAAGTTTAAAGTTAGGACAGATGAAGACCGTCCTTTTCCCATCACCTTTTTTAGGCCTTGTGTCACATTTTCTGTAATTTCACAGAAATAAATATCGTAATGGTTAGCAATCTTGTCACATTAAGAACATTTACGACTGGGTAGCGAATTCGATCCTCACTGGGTGCCACTTTCTTTTGACATTGTGCCACATCTAAGCTACTCTTGGAAAACAACTATATATATATATATATATATATATATATATATATACTCATTGGGGATCTTTTTAATTTGTTGTTTTATTCTCCATCCCCCACAGACTACAATTTGTACATATGGGGACTATTTAGGATTTTCATTGAGACAATGAGGTATTATGGTGGATGTAGTAAGAAAGGTTAGTAAGAATGTGTTGTTTTGGTGTTAGGACTATTGTTCATATGCTTGGGTCAGTGCTTGTGGCTAGCTAAGTTTAAAGTTAGGACAGATGAAGACCGCCCTTTTACCCATCCACTTTTTTAGGCCTTGTGCCACATTTTCTGTATTTTTCACAGAAATAAATATCGTAATATTTGGCGAGGCTACTTCGATAGTTTGACTGACCATTACTACTACGTAGTGGGTTCGATCCTCACTGGATACCATCTGCAAAATTCGCCATAAAATAATCCAACAAAGGTTGACATATCGTAAAATCAACCAACCCCAAATAAGGAAAGAGGCGCCTTGGTGTCGAGTAATGTTTAGCGAGGCTACTTTAATTGACCATTACTAAAGCAGTACTTAGAATGGACATGGGAGAAAGAGATATATAAATCTACTCATCTGAGATAGAAGGGCCTTCTCTCTATATACTGACCGGACCTTAGTTACAGGTTCTGGGAGAGAGCACATAATCTAGCATGATCAAGTTTTTGAATAAGGCCAGTACGTTCAAAACCTCGGTCACGATGACTGCTTACGAATAGCTATTTATATCCAGTTTCACTCACAAGGATTGGGATTACCGATGCTATGTTTTTCAGGCACTTTCCAAAAAGTGCTGCACGATGGAATCGCTTCAACAGACCGATAAAATCAAGAACTAACCTGACAAAACGGCCATGATGAGATGCGAACCTTCAAGAAGTTTTGTGATATTTTGTGGGGAGGCACTTATAACTTTCATAAATTATTGTAGTTTTAGTATATATATTACTATACATCTAATAAATTGATTTGCCAACTTTCGTTATTCCAGATTGAAAGAGATGGTTGTAAAATCTCTTTAAACACACCCTACTAAACACTGCTTGTCACTGTGTATAAATTTGCAAAATGCAGTCAGGACGTGAAAACAATATGGCGGCTTGCTATGCAATGAAGTTTTGTGTTAAACTGGGCAAAAATGCTACAGAAACGTAATGCTTATGGTTTACCTCCATGAGCCGAGCATCAGATTTCCGCTGGCACAAGAGGTTCAAGGGCGGTGGAGAGGATATGAGAGACGATGAGCAGTTTAGAATGGAGTACATGTGGACAGAATCTGGTTGAGAAAATTCGAAATTTTCGGGATGAAAATCGTATTGAGTCATCAAAGACAATAAGCGTACAGTTTGGAGTTGGTGCGGCAACTGTACACAGAATTATTCATGCAAATCTGAACATGCGCAAAATTTGGAGAAAATATGTTGCCGAGGTTCTCAGTGGCGAACAGAAAGCAAGACGTGGTTAGTAGCCATCAAAACTGCCTTCCCTACAGCTCAGACCTTGCTTCCTATGACTTTGGGCTGTTCCACAAACTGAAGAAGAATTTCAGGGGCAGTCGTTTTGAAGATCTCGAGAAAATGGAAGAGGTCTTGACAAGAGTCTTGGACACCTTCACATTGGATGAATTGCATGGAATCCTCGCAGAGTAGTTAGAGCGCTGTAATAAGTGCATTGAATTCAGACGATCCTACTTCGAAGTAGCTTGGTACTTCTTTGAAATTAATAAATGTCTCTCTTGAAAAAGTCTCAAAACTTCCGGAACACACCTCGTGTATACATAATCTATGTATGTTTATATGTATGTATGTGAAAACGATATATTTCACATGTTTAAGCAATCTAGATATATTTCTATATATTTCATTGCAAACTGAAAGGGCAGGATAAATTTAGAGAAACTAGTTGCGTGTAGGCAGTTGGAAGCCCTTACTTTATGCACATACATTTTGGTCACCTCGAGGCGGTGTAATGGTTAACAAGCTTGACTCGCTAGAAAAATTACAACTGAATAGTGAGTTCGATCCTCACTGGGTGCCCCATACTTTCGGCCTTATGTCACATCTAAGGTACACTTGGAAAATCGCTATGCACAGACATTCAATGGCTGGTAACTCGTTTCCCAGCACACCCAGGACGTCTATCAAATCCCTATTACAGACGCCCGCTCAACCCACAGGGATCAGCTGTGTTTTATACCATTCTGAGCGAACCTTAGTTACAGGTTCTAAGAAAGAACTCACAATCTAACGAGTACATTCAAGCCCTCGGTCACGATGACTTGTGACTTCGTGCTAGTTCAACCATCAAAAGCTTCCGAAAGTTCTGTTTACACAATTCCACTCACAAAACTTGGGGTTACATGTGGTATGGTTTTCAGGCACTTTTCAGTGGTGCCACACACTGTAATCATCTCCCCTGGCTGATATCAACATGACATCACTTCCCCGACTAATCGGCCATGGTGAGATTCGAACCTGGATCTCATAGCCAGGAGGCGAACGTTCTAACCATGCATGCATATATACTGTATGTATGCACACACACACACACACACACACATATATATATATATATATATATATATATTTCGAGGCGTTGTAATGGTTAGCAAGCTTGCCTCGCTAGATCAATTACGATTGAGTAGTGAGTTCGATTCTCATTCGGTGCTACATATTTTGGCCTTGTGCCACATCTAAGCTACGCTTGGAAGATCAACATATATACCTAAACGATAAATAAATTTTGATATATCAAGGACAAACTTAGAAAAATCTTTTTCAATGGGGAAATTGTTTTTCGTCTGATACTTTTCGTTCTTTAGTATTCCATCGAGTTAAAGTGATGTTTACGCTGATGTAATTTTACATGCATGTAAAGAAAAGAGAAAGCTGTGATTTAAAATTATTTTTTTAATTTTTTTCAAGTATGTGTTTTCAGTATATAAAATCTATTAGCGTCCCCTCTCTTTGCGCATGTGTAACCTTATCGACGTAAACATTACTTTAGTCCGATGATGTTCTAAAAGACAAAACGCGTCACAAGAACTTTTGCACTTTGTCATAGATTTACATAATTTTTTCTTGATTATATATATATATATCTATATAGACATCATTTTTTCATTGATGCATATTTCATTAAATAATATAGACAAGTTTTGTCTATCTATTTTATGTAAATTCTTTTCATATCGTCTGATAAGCTCATTGTCTGTTTAATATATTGTAATATCATCTTTGATAATGGCTTATGTAAGCCGAAAGCTTAGATAGGATTAAAGAATATGTATCAATATTGTGATTTTCTTTCTTCTTTTAATGATAATGTTATTAAGCTTATCAAACGATATGAAAAGAATTTACATAAAATAAATAGACAACATTTGTCTATATTATTTAATGACACATGCATAATTTTTCCCATACATGTCTAAATTAATAGCTGGTTTCAGAGCACATTCGTCTGATAAGATGACTAGCATATCCCTTTTTGCAAATATCTGCTCAGGCACATTTCGACACCCACCTGTCGTTTAAACTGCAAGTATGCTCAGCGGACCCATGTTACTGCTTCTGCGAGAAAACGCATTATTTTGACGTAATCAACATTTTGAACAAAGCCAATAAGCTCAAACATTTGATCACGATTACTGTTTACTTCGAGTTAGCAAAACCAGCTCTTATATGTGGCTAAATTGACTGATTTGCACAAAGATGCTGAAATAGCTAGATAGATATATTGATTTGCGCTTTCCCTTAGCATACGAATCACCGTTTCCATTCGGGAAAACATCATTACATCTGACGTGCTTTGACCTTTCGGCTAAAGAGTACGTTAATGACCAAGCAAAGTTGAATTAGTGCCTTTAAACACAGATTTTTCTCTGACATTTAAAAGAGGCATATTTGCTCGTTATTTTTTTTTATTCTAATGTAAACAAAGTAATTTCTAAAGAAAGGGATGGATTTTTTTTATTTATTAACCTGACAGATTTTATTACTTAAATGTTATTTTTAGTGGATACACATACTTGAGTAAATGTTCAGTGTATTTATTAAACACTATATTTATTATCATCTACTGGCCTGAATATACAAGAAATGTTCCCGGCATAATTCGAACCTCCGTTCCCCTTAGAGAAACTGTCATAAGATCTGACGTGATTTAGAATTCTCGGCCATAGAGCGCGTTGAGAGTCAAGTATATTTGAATAGGGCCTTTAAACACAGATTTTTCTCGAAATAGACATATCTGCTCAGTTTCATATCCTAACGTAAACAAAACAATTTCTAAAGAAAGGGGGTGGATTTTTTATTTATTAATCCGAGATTTTACTTTATTACTTAAACGTTATTCTTAGTGGATACTTGTATTTGAGTAGACGCTCTAGTTATTTATTAAACAATATATTTAATTTTGGTCCACCGGCCTGAATATTCGAGAAATCTTATTAAAGAAAAATAGAGCGCATATTTTTCTCTAACATATGTGAATGCGAACAGAGTGAGATAGATAGATAGATAGATAGATAGATAGATAAAGAACAGGCTGTGATAGATAGATAGATAGATAGATAGATAAAGAACAGGCTGTGATAGATAGATAGATAGATAGATAAAGAACAGGCTGTGATAGATAGATAGATAAAGAACAGGCTGTGATAGATAGATAGATAAAGAACAGGCTGTGATAGATAGATAGATAGATAGATAGATAGATAGATAAAGAACAGGCTGTGATAGATAGATAGATAGATAGATAAAGAACAGGCTGTGATAGATAGATAGATAGATAGATAGATAAAGAACAGGCTGTGATAGATAGATAGATAGATAGATAGATAGATAAAGAACAGGCTGTGATAGATAGATAGATAGATAGATAGATAAAGAACAGGCTGTGATAGATAGATAGATAGATAGATAAAGAACAGGCTGTGATAGATAGATAGATAGATAGATAAAGAACAGGCTGTGATAGATAGATAGATAGATAGATAGATAAAGAACAGGCTGTGATAGATAGATAGATAGATAGATAGATAGATAGATAAAGAACAGGCTGTGATAGATAGATAGATAGATAGATAAAGAACAGGCTGTGATAGATATAGATAGATGATAAAAGAACAGGCTGTGATAGATAGATAGATAGATAGATAAAGAACAGATGTGATAGATAGACAGATAGATAGATAGATAAAGAACAGGCTGTGATAGATAGATAGATAGATAGATAGATAGATAGATAGATAGATAGATATGTGAAAAGCCTGAGACAGTTATAAAGACAGATGATAGTATGAACAGACACAGATAGATAGATAGATAGATAGATAGATAGATAGATATGTGAAAAGCCTGAGACAGTTATAAAGACAGATAGATAGTATGAACAGACACAGATAGATAGATAGATAGATAGATAGATAGATAGATAGATATGTGAAAAGCCTGAGACAGTTATAAAGACAGATAGATAGTATGAACAGACACAGATAGATAGATAGATAGATAATAAAGAACAGGCTGTGATAGATAGATAGATAGATAGATAGATAAAGAACAGGCTGTGATAGATAGATAGATAGATAGATAGATAGATAGATAAAGAACAGGCTGTGATAGATAGATAGATAGATAGATAGATAGATATGTGAAATGCCTGAGACAGTTATAAAGACAGATAGATAGTATGAACAGACACAGATAGATATAGATATAGATAGATAGATAGATAAAGAACAGGCTGTGATAGATAGATAGATAGATAGATAGATAGATAGATAGATAGATAAGCAAGTACGTATTCTTTCCCGTTCTTTTAAACATAAATAACATTTTAACGCTTGTCTCTTGTTTAGGATTTGGTTTCCGGTTCCTTATAAAGTCTTTTTCATTCTGTTTCATTCTCAGTAGGGCCTTGCTTGTGGTGGACTGATTTAAAAAAAAAAAAATAGATATTTAATAAGCGTAGATTAGATCAGGCACAAAGCCGAAAGTATGGGGCACCCAGTGAGAATTGAACTCACCACTTAATTGTAATTGATCTAGCGAGACAAGTTTGCTAACCATGACACCACGTTAAAGAATCGGAAACATTTTCCAAGCGTTGCTTAGATCTGACACAAGGCCGAAAGTGTGACGCGCGCAGCAAGGAGATAGGATGATTTACTTCAATTATCCGTATATTTTTTCATAATTATGTTTCTTTCTTTTATCTTTTTGTTATTTATTTTATTTTATTTTATTTTGCAAATGTTCTTCCTTGTGGTAATGTTTCCCCATGTGTCTTGACTCTTTTGAGAAATATCCAATCAGCACCATATGTTTTTCAATGGTGATTTATGATACAAGAAATTTCATAAAATAGCATACATAGACGCTTCAACAGTGACCTCTGCCCACCAGGTGTGTTGCATAAAAGACTCTTTCTCCAATTCCTTCTCGTGTTTCACGTACTGGATCCCCTCCATCGATAAATTTTAAAATGGAATTATAATTAATTTCCCAGTATTCCCAATAAAACTATAAGGATAAAGAAAAATGCTTATGTTTTATGATGCAATGAAAGCATTTAAGATATATATATTTAGTCATAAGAGTTTTAAAAGATACATTTTTAAAATTCAACAAATACACATATTACTTCCCGACTACTGACAATCCGTTTCCCATAATTCCAATTCATTTTCGAGTGAAATCAATTAAACTACATTTATATCGCAAAATCAACTACAGTGTAGCCCGGATATAAGAGAAACCCGGATATAAGAGAGATTTGGTCCCAAATTAGAGCCTGTGTTAATGTATATAAAATAAACCAAACCCGGATATAAGCGACTTCTTCTCCGGTCCCGACAACTCTCTTATATCCGGGTTACACTGTAGTTGCTAAGATAAGTGAGTGACTACAGATAATCAATTACATCTCGATTTTCAATGTACAACTTACAGTAAAGCACTCAACATGTATTAACAAAACGTACCTTTAAGCGTTTCGGGAAGGACCGGCCATATCTGACCGGCGAAGCTTGTTCATTGATCCATAACTGAATCCAATAACACCGCGCTAAACTTAATTTGGCACAAGCTGACGTGTACTATTTTTTTTCTTTTTTTATTGGTGGTGGTGGGGAGGGCAGTGAGTCCAAAAGTCAAGTCTATTTTTAACTAATTTTACGGGGACGTAAGTCCAAAAGTCAAATCTATTTTTACTGGTTCGCCACACATTTTGCTGTACAGAAATTAAGTATTAAAAAAAGACAATTTATAGCCAAAATTACCAATACTGTTCAAATTAATTCCGAATGCCTCCTGCAAAAAGACATACATGTTACTGAATTCCTGATTGTACAAACACCTGCTTTATTTTTTTTTTACAATGGCGTTCACCCTGTACAAGGCTCGACAGCCACTAAAGGTAGAACGTTACAGAGTAAGAGGCACAATCCAAAGCAAAGGTGATAATGCCACCAACATGCAAGGGACCAGGAGAAGTGAAAGTGAAGAAAAAAAAACTTTAAAAGGAACTAGAATCCAAATCCTAAACAGGAAACAAGAGATAAACCTCTAATCCTGTTCAAAAGACCGAGGAGGGATGGGAACCAGACGATAGATAAATCTTTCTACTTCTAGTGACGAAAAAATTAAAAAGTAAATAAAAGTTCAGAGTTTTAGGCAGAGACTTTAGAAAGAACCGAAAACCTAACCCTAAACAAGAAATAAGAGATAAACCTCTACTCCTGTTCTAAGACCGGTCAGAAATGTGAACTGGTCGTTAGATAAACCTCTACTCCTGTTCTAAGACCGGTCAGAAATGTGAACTGGTCGTTAGATAAACCTCTACTCCTGTTCTAAGACCGGTCAGAAATGTGAACTGGTCGTTAGATAAACCTCTACTCCTGTTCTAAGACCGGTCAGAAATGTGAACTGGTCGTCATGATCATTATATGTTATCAGGATATAGGTTCACTATATCCTGATAACATATAATGATCATGATAGTGTAATTGTATTATTTTTAAATTATCAATGGAAACAATGTAAAGTCACTGTGTATAATGCATAATAAATATTTTTGTTATGACTAAAAATTATACTCAATATTTGTATTTTAATCACTTATCGCGTTATATTTCTTCCATATTTCAGAAGTTGTGCTTTATTTCATACTGACGATATTCAGTCATCCCCCCCACGAGGGTGTCATGTGGCACAAGGCCTTTTTAACGTGGGCATTCCGAGCCCGTGGGCTCGGCTAAAAATATGCCCATTGCCCGTATAAACGGGTTCAGGACCGGTCTACCTCCCCGAAAGAGACTCCGCCCTTCGGCGTAGCCTCCTTCGGGTTCCTCCCGTCCGTAGGAAGAGAGTTAAACCGAACAGTCGCTCAGAAAGTACTGGGTCGACTGACATTTCGTTTAAGCTTCAAATGAGCATTTATTTTTTTACTGCACATTCACAATGACCTAATCCAATCTTTTTTGACTTTTTTATTTAGGATGTGGTATTCTGGTGCAGGAAAACTAACGTTAATTTTGGAAAGAGGGTTTTCTTTTTTAATTCAAGACCCTAAAATTGTTCAAATTATCCAAAAGCATCCCATGCACCGTTTAAAAAAATGTTTATAGGTCCGTGTAACCTGTGTGGCCTTAGAGCAGGTGTAACATGGCGGCTTCATTCTAGCTGCAGCGTGTTTCAAAATAACCATTTTGTTTTATTTTGAATCGAAAGATGCTAGAATTTCGATAACACGTCAACTAAGTATAGTTTTATGAATGTTCAGAAATCCTTGTAACTCATTCACGATCCTGATAAGAAATTTAAAGTGAAAAAAATGTGTATTTCCGATGAAAATTCGAATTCTGATTGATCGATTGATTTCTTTTTTACGCCTTATCAACCCTTTGCAGATTATTTAAAGTCAGAAAATATTTTTAGATTGTAAGAATTTTTTTTAATATAATAATGTTACAGCGATACAAGTCTTACCAATTAACCTATAGCTGGGGAGAAGAGGTGGATTCATACCTTTCTAATGGGTATTTGCGAGTAAATGGATATAATGAAACCAACGGAAATTGGAACTCGGTTCTCTGATTAAAATATCCGAGACATTATCCATTACACCACGCGCACATCCAAGCTTTAAACACGTGGTTTTCCCCAAGTGGTCACCCGTCTAGGTACTAAGCTCGACGTTGTTTAACCTCAGTGATCGTATGGGAGCAGGTGTTTCAATGTGATCCAGCCTTAAGCTCGAATTTTTCTTTGTGATCCTTTCAAGATTCAATTTTTGGTAGCCTTAGAAAATTGAGTAAGAAAAATACTAAAATTTTCTTTGAAAAATGTTATTTTTCTTAGTTTTCTAAATCTACCAAAAAATTAATCCACAAACATGAAAGGATTACAAAGAAAACTAATCGACATGATATATCTAAATTATTTAACCAAACCTATTTTGATTAAAATATTCTGCCTAAATATACACTCTATATATATATATATATATATATATATATATATATATATATATATATATATATATATATATATATAATAAAAAAAGCTAAACACTAATATTCCATGATCATAATTTATTCCATTGGAATCGTAAATACGATCCAATTCATCAGACCTACAAATTCAAAAAGAAAACAAATACAACTCCGGAAATAAAAAAAAAAAAAAAAATTATGACCATGAAATATTAGTGTTTAAGCCTTTTTATTATATCCTTACTCTGTCCTGGACATTGAGTTCTACCTGGATTCTATCCTCTTGGAATTTTTTATTCAAAAATATACATATATGTGTATGCACCTATGTATATATATCTATATATTTGTATATTTACATATATGTGTATATATTTATATATATATATATATATATATATATACCGACCAAAAGTTTGTGACCATATTGATTTTTTCCTCTAAACTTAAAAAATGAATCAAGTTCCATGTCTTTAAAGGGATAAATTTATTTTTTCTTATACATTTATTTTTTTTTATACAATTATGCAATAATTTAATTCAAAATAAAAATAAAATAATCATAATTTCAGTTAAAGCAAATTTATATTTTCTTTTCTTCAAAGAATCCACCACGTGCATTTATTACTGCTGAGCATATTCTTGGCATCCTTTCTGGTAACTTATGAATGTTTTTGTTGGTGGAAGTGATTCTCAAGCAGTGTGTAAATGTGTAGATAACTCTTTCTTATTCTTAGGCAGTTCCCTTCGAACTTGACGATCAATCTCGTCCCAGACTAGTTCAATTGGTGAAAGATCTGGAAACTGAGGAGGCCAAGTCATGATTTGCAAAATTTCTTTATATTTTTTGATTTTAGATAATTTGTACACAGTTTCGAGTTGTGTCTTGGATCATTATCTTGTTGCAAAACAAAATTTTTATCCAATAATGCGCCAGCCAGAACGAATTGCATGCCCCTGCAATATTGAATATATTTTCGCACAATGTCTTTAATGTGAAAAATTTCCGAATTTCTGGTGGAGTGAATTGTGTCATGGTGCTCTTTTTCTTACAGACGGTGCCCAACTGCCCCTACTAGTGTGTGCAGCCGACAAAATCAAAAGCAAACAATGCGCATGTGCGAAATTAAGAATATAAAATGGCGATAATATATCCATCGCACCCTGTAAATACAACAGACGAATTTATTTATCCAAATATACAAAATTCGCATTTTTAAGAACTTAGAGAAACAATTCAGGTGGTCCCCAAACTTGGTCCCAAACTTTATATATATATATATATATATATATATATATATATATATATATATATAGTATTTAGGCAGCAATTCTTCATTTATGCATGTTTCATTAAAAAACAAATGCACATTAACTACAAACAAGATGAATCTTCACTTGAAATATTATAAAGAAATACATTAACCCAAATGACCGGAATAAAAAAAATCAAATTAATTATCTACTATAAAAATTTTAAACAGCTAACCTTATCCTCAAAAATAACAACGCACCAGCTAAGTCAAAATTACAACGAAGGAACATTATCTATGAATTCATATGCCCCTTAAGGAACTGTATTCCTGATCAAACCGAACTCATAAATAATTACATCGGTCATACAACTACATGCCTATCCAGACACCTTACGTTACATTTATCTGACCAGAGCCCTATCAGAAGCCATTAAAACACACACACACAAACCTGCTAGACTCCATTCGAAACATACTAGTAGAAAATACAAATGTAATAACCTCATCCAACAGAGCATAGGTTCAAGACATCCGTACACCGCAAACTGATATTGAGTGTGTATTATATGTATTTATATGTGTGTGTATATATACATGTGTGTGTATATATGTGTGTATTATATGTATTTATGTGTGTGTGTGTATATATACATGTGTGTGTATATATGTGTGTATTATATGTATTTATGTGTGTGTGTATATATACATATGTGTGTATATATATGTGTGTATTATATGTATATATGTGTTTGTATATATGTGAGTGCGTATATGTATGTGTATATATATATATATATATATATATATATATATATATATATATATATATGTGTGTGTGTGTGCCTAATTTTATTGTGCTTAATAGATAGTGCACTTTTTTATATGGAGCAACACAGCGTCGAACAAATCGTTCGGCTTCAATCGAAATTGTTCAATTCATATCTCTGTAATCCGTTCTCGTAACAATCAATAATTTGCTATTTAATCTATGTAGATTCTATTTTAAAAGACATAAAGCTAGAATGCATTGTAGTGTAGATATAACTACTGCATGCATTTAGAGAATCGCAGACTACATATCATTCTTTATTTCCAGATTTGATTTATTGCAGGTTCGAACAATCATTACCTCAGTGAATTTCTTGTACAGTTTTGATGAAGGACGAGACATAAGCATTATTTTCTATTTTATTTTAGTCATCCTTTCTTCTTTAGTTTAAAATAAATGGTACCTGGGCCCAGTGAATATAAATATTGTCCAAATAGTTGGGATCTGGTATTTACGT